AAGTGTATAAGAATTGTATATCCCGGCTCTCTTGCTTTATACAAACACAAACACAAATTATATAAAGTGAGAAAGAGATTGGCTGAAGAGAAGCAAGAGAGAGATTGGGCAGGGAGAGGAGAGTGGCGAACGAGATTCCAGAGAGAGGGGAGAGAGGCGAGAGAGAGAATGTAATTATAGCTAGAAGTAAGTTTTGAATTGTAATTAATGCAAATTATAGTTATGTTTGCTTAACTGCTTTTTTTTTTTTTTTATACATCTAGGTTGAATATTAAATAGATTGTGTCATTGCACAAGTAAAAAATTCAATAACATGGGATAAAGAGATAAACTTGAAGCCAATTGACGATAATGAAATGGACTTGTGATAGTTTAAAATAATCTATTAAATACAATTTTGATCATTTAAATTTGTTAAACGTAGACCCTTCGGGGTGGCCTAGTGGTTTGGGCTTGGACTTTCATGTTGGAGGTCTCAAGTTCGAAACCCCTTGCCAGCGAAAGCAAGGGGTTTGCCTTCTAGGTCGAGCTCGTCGCACCGGGCTTGCCTAGTGCGGGTTGCCTCTCCTATGTGGTTTGCGAGCTATTGCATAGGAGCGGGGGGTTTTACCCTGTGCGCACCCAAAGGGTAGCGGCTGCGGGTTTCCCTTGTCATAAAAAAAAAAATAAAAAAATTGTTAAACGTAAATCTTTTTGTCTTCGTTAAATAGTTAAAAAGTTATGTACATTATTTTTGCTTTCTTCCTCATTAGTTAAAAAAAGTGTATCCTTCTCTAATACGATCAACCAAGTCATTGAGTTTCAACTCATCATTCTCTAGCATAAGGCTAGTAAAACCAAATGTACCATCCAAGTTAAATGCAAACCTCCCTCACCATGTAGGTTCAAGCTCAACACCGATGGAGCTGTGGGAAATAGCCCTAGACCAGAAGGCTTAGGAGGGAAGGACTCAAGTGCGAAGCCTTTGGAATACCAACCTTTTTGGTAGTTCCTCCAGTGTTTGCGAAGGAAGTAGTATACGCAGACATTTTAGGAACTACGTACTCTAGGAAACTTAGTTTTTCTAACAACTATGTAAATGGCCCAAAACTCTAACTATCCTGCTACAAGCAAGTTTGTTAAACATTAGCTAATTTTAATATAAGTATCCTTTTTTATTTAAAAAAAAAAGTGATACTCAAAGGTTGGCTTTCTATGGTAGAATGGAGAGTTTCCCTCGTTAATGAATTCACATAGTAAAGATACGGTGCATGAGTGTAATTCAATCTCAATAATTAATTCATAAGAAAAATAATTTCTAAGTTCATAATAGCAAATTACTAGTTTATTTCCTAACTAATGTAGGACTTCTAATTCACACTCTAACATCCCTCTTCTAGGTTCAACTAGAACATGCACCGAGAGCTCAAATAAAGATAAACTTGAATAGTATATTTAAATTAGTAGTACTGGATAATATAACATATAAATAATGAATTCAATTGATCTCAATACCTTGATACATAATATATACATATTTAAATTGATAAGAATTAATTTTAAACCTATAATTTTAAAAGCTCAACAAATTCATATTAAGAATCTACATATCAAATCAATCAAAATTATATTTTAAATCAGTTATTTTATAATAATACATCCATTCTCTCGAAATCGTGAATGTTTTATCCCTCATAAAAAAAAGTTGTTATGTTTACGTTAGAAATTAATGGGGCAACAGAATTCAGTTTTGATATAGTTGTTGTTTGTCCTTAACTAATTTATCATCCTATTAGTTGTCACTCTATTGCAAGTTGGTGTTCAATAGGGATAGGTCCACTTTTCTAGAACTATTTTCACCTTTCAAAATCACACTCCAATATGTTCATATATAGCTGTAACTAGGGTAATAAAATCAAATCCAACTCATCCAATCCGTTTAAATTTGGATAGGTTATTGATACGCTTATTTATTAGTTTAATTCGTTAAAAAATCGATTGATATGTTATTCAAATTGATTAACGAGAAAATTTGTCAAACAATTTTTAAAATACTTTTTTAAAATTTTTTTGATGTGTTATATATAGTCATAATAAAGAAAAAAATAATTTTATTAGATACTAAAATAGTTTAAAAGAACAAAAAAATTAATTAAGCTTGGTAAAAATTGAATAATTGGGTTGGGTCTTGACCCATTATATAATTCATTATCTAATCCATTTTAACCAACCCTTTTTTATGCATGCAAATCTGAGTTAGATTGGGTATTAACTCAATTATTGTATTAATTCATTATGACTCGCCCAATTATCTCCCGTTGATAACATAATTCAAATTCACCATAATAATCTCATTTTAATAATTAGCCTATAGTACTTAGATAAACGCGCACCTATAACCATGGCCAAATCTTCAGAAAAAAAGTTGTTTCAAGAGCTATTTGATTGGGTAAACTCTCATAAAGTTGTTTGTATTTACAAATTATATATCATCAATTTAATAAGTTGAAATCCATTATGCGAGTTATTATTGATACATAAATAATAATTACGGATGCAATCAAATTCAATAAATTTTAACTTAAATTTCGCATTCGTGATATTCATTTTTTGGGAGGGGGTACTGTGGGGTTTGAACTCCCATCACTAGGGTGAGTGTGTGGGCGGCTCACTTATACCTCACTTTTGTTGTGTTAAAAGATTTATTTAGTATGTAAAAATAATTTGTTTGAAATTCAAAATTAAAAATTTCGACTCAATGTCTATTGAGTGATGGTACTAGGGATGGACATGGTATGATATGGTATGAGACAATATTTAAAATTTCGATACGGTAATTTCAGTATTCAGTTTCTAAAACTATTATTATATTATTACTATACCAATTTAATGCGGTATGATTCGGTATTTTGAAGTTCGGTTTCGATATTTTATGGTATGGTAAATCGATAATCATAGTTTATTCAACTTCGACTAATATTCACTCGTATAATAGAGTTTTATGACTTCAACAATACAAAAAAAAAGGTCTCAATTATATCATACTATGTTGCATATTTGTTATATACTTCGATATGATATTCAATATTTCAATATGTTATTTCTAAATACCAAATATCATATCGAATATCAAATTTTTTAAAAATGTATACCATAATATCAAAACTACGATATTAAAAATTTCAATATGATATAATAATTCGATATATACCATACCATGTCTACACTAGACGTTACTGTCTATTGGCTGTAAAAAGAAAAGGTTAGTTTTACTGCAGTAAGAGGAGAAAGAAAAATACTGCTCTTTATGGGCCTGTACTACTGCCTACTGGCAAAACAGTTGTTATCAACATGGGATTTTTGCCTGTTGATGATTATTTGAATACTGTTTTTGGTTTTTTTTCTTGGTTTCATTCATTGCGGTCCCTTTTACTTCTCTTTAATCTAGCTACGATAATATATTCAATATAATTTCATGAGTTGAGTCTAGAAAATAAGAATAACTTTAGGGTCCCACTGAGTGTTCATCCGAACCTCTTAAAAACACATACACTATAAATATAAGGTAATTTTTTAAAGACATATATAGAGATTCTGAATTCGCTAAATATAAAGTAGAGATTGACTTAGTGGTTTGAAAAATTTAAAATTCACGTCAAGTTTAAATTCCAAATATTATATTTTTTTTTGGGAATATAGTGAGCCGGACCTTAATATCACTTTTGTTCTTGTACAACGTAGTCATTGTACTACAACTTCATTCTTTGGACATATTTGTTGTCCTAAACATCTGCCACTGTTGAAGAGGATAGAGTGTATGCAGTCCTTAGTCCTATAATATTATAATCCTAAATATCACTCTTGCACAACATAGTCATCGTACTCCTCTTCCATTCTTCGAGCATCTTCATTTCCTAAAAATGACATTAAACAACTCAGCCAGCCACTTCAAACCTTTTCATGCCTAAGTTCTTTCAAAACTCCACTGAAATTTCACTTAGTCACTCTTTCCCAGCTTATTCTACTAATAACCTCATTTAATCTCATCAACCTTTATAGACAACCTTGATTACCGCTGAATTATAATAGATTCTTTAAAAATACACGAACATTCAATATATCATTTTTGAAAAGAACGAACAAAAGAGCTATTAAAGCTATCTATTTCGTTTATAAACATCAAATACCCGAAATCCACAACCTTAGTTACCATTGAATTATGATAGATCCTTTAAAAATACATGAACATCCACCATATCATTTTTGAGAAGTACCAACAATATAGCTATTAAAACTACTCCCTCCATCCACTTTTAATTGTCATGTTGCGTTTTTTCAAAATCAATGTGATTAATTTACAAAGTGAAATTAAATTACATTAATTCGATATTTTAAACAAAAAATTTAAATATTCAAAAACTATATGAAAAATACTATAAATTGTGATCTTTTACATATCAATATGATGAAAAAATACATCGTAAAATGTTATTCTAAATACTTATTTTTGATTCTAAAAAATGAAACCATGACAATTTAAAGTAGACGGAGGTAATATCTATTTTCTTTATTGTAGTATTTTTCTCTTTCTTTCAATAAAGTTGGTGCCTTTTTTAATCAATAGGGTCACCAATCCAAAAATGTCAAAATTTTGAATAATTATGAATAAAGTTGTGGTACCCAATAGTATTTATTTGAGTTGCTCAACTGTATATTTTTCTATTTTTGGAACCCTTTTGTTTCTATTATCACTTACCTCATTGGTCTAAATACGTTGTTTCTAATCATATTTTTGCATATACACTTTTTATTTATATTTTTTTAGTATAATGTTTGTTGACTTGAGATAAATTTAAATCGGATTCATATAGTCGATCCCAACTAGCTGGAACTGAGGCATAGTTGTTGTTATGGTGTATATATATGTGTGTTTAGAAATGAATTTTCAAGATTTTCTATGGGAATGCATAGTACTTGTTTGTTAAAATGTTTCACTGAAAAAGCTTGATAGTGAATTCAAGAATGACAGTAGATAATTCAAGATGCTCAATTTGGAGCAGAGAGCAAGATATAGCATTTGAAAATGCATTAGCAACTTATCCTGAGGATTGTGTAGATAGGTGGGAGAAAATTGCAGCTGATGTTCAAGGGAAAACCTTACAAGAGATTAAGAATCATTATGAAATTTTACTCGATGATGTGAGCCGGATCGAGTCTGGTTATGTTCCTTTGCCTTGCTACAATTCTTCTTTTGACAGGTCTTTGTGCCATGATGGTGGTGGTGAAAGAACAGGCAAGAAGAGTGGGGTTTCAGGGAGGTTAAACAGTGAGTCAAATGATGGAGGTAAATCTACTAAGTTGGAGCAGGACCGGCGGAAAGGGGTTGCTTGGACGGAGGATGAGCACAGGTCAGTAACCGTTGAACTTCAGTTATTTCAGTACAATATTAAGCTTATTTATTGTATATTTGTTTGAAACAAGTGAGGCTTGCTCAAGTGGTCGATCACCTCCACCATCATCCGGTAGGTTTAGGGTCGGGTAAGTCAGAACACTATTGATTTCTCCTCAAAAGATAAGAAAAGAAAGTATATTTGTAAGAAACTCAAGTGTTCATACCTTGTGTTTGAGGTTGCTACATGTCATTTAGGATAGTGTAGTGGTACTTTTTTTCCCTTCATGTTTCAGTGAATATAAATAATCTTATTAAACTTAGCTTTATGCTCCTTCTGCCGAAAACTTTCTTTGCTTGGAAAGGTAATGACTGTCGACTGTCGTTATGAGGGTGTACTTCATGAAGTCATAGGACTAACTAAGCTGTTGCCAGACATTTGTTAAACTGTATTGTCCTGCTGTCACTTTCAGAAAGTACTCTTTCGATGGGAGATATGGTCGATAGAGAAACATTCCAAGTGATTCAGGGGTTTTCGCAAGTCTAATGTTAAGATTATAGATTTATGTTTATGCATAAGACAACAATTAGCCGATTACGGATTGATGTTTCTTTTCCTAATCCCTAGAGCTTTTCTTTGTCCAATTCAAGCTACCTGCATCTTAATCAGGCAATGGTTTTTCACTTGATTCACCTTTTTCATCCTAAAGTGCGCGTTGTACTTCTTGAAATTCCTGAAACTGGATCTTGTTTTGTAGCAATTGGACTTCTCATTTTGTTAGCCGTAAGAACCACGGTTGCACAGAAAATAATTGAAGATGCATATTCTTTACTGAAATCTTCTGCATTCTAGATACCGTTTAACATCCTTCCGATATTTTGTACTGACTGACTTTTTCTTCATTTGCTGCATCTTTGTTGGCATGCAGATTGTTCCTTCTTGGACTGGAAAAATATGGGAAAGGTGATTGGCGAAGCATTTCAAGAAACTTTGTTGTGACAAGAACTCCTACGCAAGTGGCCAGTCATGCCCAAAAATATTTCATCCGTTTAAACTCGATGAACAAGGATAGAAGACGAACAAGTATACATGACATTACTAGTGTTAACAACGGAGATGTCTCAGTACCTCAAGTTCCAATCACTGGCCAAACAATTGGTTCTTCTGGAAAATCCAACAAACAATCTCCAACAGCACCAATTGCTCCCATTGGAGTTGGCATATATGGAACAACGACCATCGGACAACCAGTAACAGGACCACTTGTTAACGTAGTTGATCAGAGGCAGATTCAGGATTTGGACATTATGGATTCGAGTTTGGGATTTTACTACAGCCAATCTTGATTTTCTGGGTACTTATCTAGGTAACTTTGTAACACATACAAAATTCGAGCCAAAGCTACTACTGGCTTCGGATGAAACCATAAGTTCAGCACTACATCCACCTCTGCAGATGGTACAACAGTGAATCTTTCTCCACCATACAAATCATACGGTGTCCAACCTCCAACTCCAGGAGCAGTGGTTACTGGTGCACCTGTAAACACGAGCCCAACGATGCTTACGATGAAACACACATCTACACATTAGTGACATTTTTTTTAGAAACAATAAGTGTACAAAGGCAAACTAAAGAGTCTTGTGCTTATTCATGTTTATGCAATCTTCTTCAATGGTGCATGAATAATACTATTTCTCAATGTCACCTAAGCATTCACTCAAGACTTTGATCCAGTGGTAAGAGCAATATAATATTAGATTATATTAACGTGAATCTTTACGACGTAGTGGTAAGATTGTGTATACACTATGTTCTTCAGATTCCACTTGTGAGATTACACTGGGTATATCCTTGTTGTTGTTGTAATGAATCTTTCGTCTTCCTTTCTTGCATTTTTAATTTCTTATACCCACATTACACAAGAAAAAGTGATAGATTACAACTTAGTTAAAATTTTAGATTGATCCTTAGACCCGAAAAAATAAGGGTGAAAATGTTTTCCAGAAAAACAAGTTGTTTGTTACTTATTTCTTGTGTGTTAGAGCATAAGCAAAAAATTCTATTCAAGAAATATTTGTATATAATCTAAACAAATACTATGAGATATGGTATGAATAAAAAATTCAGTTATAAATCAAAGATCAATTTTTTTGTTAACTATATAAATTGAGGTGAAAGACCTAAAAGAAATCAATACTTAGCCAGTTTAAGGTACAAGCAAATGTGCACAAGGTACAATCAAATATGCACAAGGTACAATATGTGAAAAACCTATATTTCTCCGACAAAGAAACATAATATATAAATATGACTTTTAACTTGACCTTTTATGTGCATAAGTAAACACTTAAAATTATATAGAGTTAAATAAATTTATACACGTCTTACCTAGCATAATACACCTAGAACGTCACGTAAAATGCAACTTGTGATGTAGGACACCAAATAGAATACGTGTGTCTAGTTATGCATATCCAAATTGGAGGTGAAAGGGCAGATTTATGTATAGAAACTGTTTTTTGTTGAAGAAAACAGAGATTTCTCTGCTGTCTTGTTCCCATTGCTCCAATGAGTCCACTGACCATTCAACTTACAAATCCAGCAAAACCCCAAACCACCATTTTCACTTTACCAAACAGACCAAGAATCTTGATTCCTCAAGCTACATTTTCTTCTTCATCAAATTCTCCTCTTTGGACCATTTCAGAGATAGTCAGGGCTGTTAATGGCAAAATCATCAAGTGGGGTCCACCTGGAACAATCTGTACGGACACCAGAACCCTTGAACCAGGACAATGGTTTCTCCCTCTTGTTGGGCAAAACTTTGATGCCCACAATTTCATTACCCCTAAATTGGCCACAAAAGGGTGTGTTGGAGTGATTGGGAACTGGGTTTGTGAGGGTTGGAACAATGGGTTTGTACAAGTAGAAGGTGACACTATGAGTTCTTTAAAAAGATTGGGTTTTTATGCAAGAAACAGGTTTACTGGTTGTTTAATTGGTTTAACAGGAAGTGTAGGTAAAACCACTACAAAGACTATGGTGGCATTAGCTTTGGAGAGTGTTGGAACTGTTTATTATAGTCCAGGGAACTGGAATAACGAGATTGGGGTTGCATTATCGCTTATTGGGATGTCGAGGGATGTGGGGTTTGGGGTTTTGGAGATGGGGATGAGCAAGAAAGGAGAAATCTTGGAGCTGTCCAGGATGTGTAGACCAGATGTAAGGGTGATTCTAAATGTGAATGCTGCACATTTGGAGAATTTTGCCAACTTGGAGGAGGTTTCCGTGGCGAAAGGGGAGATTTTAAGAGAAGCAATGCCAGGGGATGTGTGTGTATTGAATGGTGATGATCCCCTTGTCATGAGCCTCCCAGTTCCAGTTGGAGTTAAGAAGGTGACTGCTGTTTAGTTTTTTTTAAATTGTTCTTTATATTGATATTCTTTGTGGTTGGTGGTGAAGCTGGGATTCAACATATGTAGTATATATACATTAAAAGAAAATTTAGCTATCTAAACAGTGTGAATTTTCAGCGAAGGGGATGTTGATTGGATACAAGGTGTCTCCACCACTGTTTGTGATCAAGCTTCTTTTGTGTTGGTCACTGAATTAGTTCTCAGCGTCTGAACTAGCTGATAAGAGTTACATGCGATGCAGATACCACTGTTCTTTCCTTGCATTCTAGTATTGGTAGGTAATCTTGAAATGAAATTTTCTACTTTGAATCTTGCATATGAAAGGACAGAGAGCACTTCTTCCAATTTTAGATGTTTTTGATAGTAAATCTCATTAATGTGCATCTAGTGAGGGGTGTGGGATCCATACCGGATTTGGTCCAGCACCGACCGAATCTGGTATGGATGCCACACCCATGTCGTGTCGACACGGGTGAGTCCTAGCAACTTAGCTCATTACATCCTTGTTATTTGTTAGATACAGTTCTATATTAGGAGATAAGAGCCGAAAAACATGAATCCTGTTGCTTTTTATCTTTATATACTGTGAAACTATGATGGCTTGGCTCGGGAGTCTACTTTTGGTTATATTTCTTGATTTCATTTTCTCTTTTCTTGCTCAAGGTGGTATTTGGTCGAAAGTTGGGCTGTGATGTTCGTTTAGTTTCTTCACAAATCATAGACGGAGGTCGCAGAGTAGAAATTGTTCTAGAGGGGTTCAACGAAATGTAAGTTCATCAGAACCTTTTTCCAACCATTCTGTAGAGCATGCTATTTGCATTGGCTCAAAACTTGAACTATTACAACCTGGTTTGAACATTTTCAGAATACTAAACTTTTATAATCCCCTTATATTGTTATATTTTCCAAATTGTTGTAAAAATATGGTTTACTGTTATTGATGTAAATTGTATATATTTTTGTGTTCTTTATCGGGAAGGGCTTATACAAGCAGGCCTTCATCTTTTGTCTCTTTGGTGTGACTTAGATGTTATTAATTAGATATAAAGTGCGACAGAAGTCACCATCCCCTCTTTTCATAGCTAATAGAGAAGAGACTTTTGTAATTCTTACCTCTGTTGTTAGCGCTACACTCGATTCTTGAACAAAATGAGCTTTACTTTCTTAAAACAGATATGTTATGTAATTTTCAATGTACAAGGTCAGTACTACCACAGATTAAAGAACTTAGGTTGACGAAATATCCTTAGAAATTGTCTTATCAAGGAAATGCCTTTCTTCATTTAGGCTATTTTAATCTGAAACACAAATAACTTGCGTTATTCATTACAACAATTGATCCACTGTTATTTACTAGTATTTACAGTTCTATTTATTTGACATGTTGATACAAATTCAGGGTTAAATTCATAATCTCCAGTCCAGGCTTGCATTTGGCCGTTAATGCATGTGCAGCTGCTGCTGTCGCTAGTGCTCTTTGCGTTCCTCTTGCTCTAGCTGGAAAGTCCTTATCCAGATTTATACCTGTTCACCGAAGATCAGAGCTTGAAGTAACCAAGAATGGGATTACAATAATAAATGATGTTTATAATGCAAGTCCAGCCAGTTCTCAAGCTGCAATTGACTTGTTAAGAAACATTGACTGCAAAGGTAAACGAGTTGCTATACTCGGAGACATGCTTGAACTTGGTCCAACAGAATTCAAGTTTCATGAGTTGATGCTACAGAGTTGCTGCGATGCTCAGTTTGATGTGGTTGCACTTGTTGGAATGAGGTTTGTACGTGCAGCTGAGAGTATAGACTTTGGGCCAGATACAAAACTGGTGTGTACTACTGATGCTCACCAGATGGCTTCTAAAATCACCGATTATCTAAATAGTGGTGATGTCGTCCTTGTCAAAGGCAGTCGTCAAATAGGAATGGAGGTAATTGTCGATGCAGTTAAGTCTATCCACTTTGGTGTCCCACTTTGCCATGCAGTAATGAGCAAATGTGACTAATAGAAGATTCTGCAATGTGATCGTGCTAGAAAAAAAACAGTATGCTGGTTCAACTTTGTTTGAGTTCTTTTTCAAGACCTCCGCGTAGCTCAGGGCCAGCAGCTGGCGTTTATGCTGGCATAAGGATAGGTCATTAGCCATCTGCTGTAGCCATACGAGTTGGCTTTCAGGTGACAAGCTCTTTGTAGTGCTTAAGCTGCTCGGTAGAAGCCCTTGCTAAAGATGCTTTCTTCAGTTCAGTATCATGACGAAAGATTATAAGGATTGGAAAACTTACAGTTGGTATATATGGATGAAGTGCCTCTTTACGGATACTTTCTGCAATGTTACCACCATAGGGTTCAATAAAATCGTATTCTTACTCGAGGAACGACACTCCAGAAATCAGCTTATTGTTCAAGAAGCCACATATGGTAATGACAAAATAGGCTTCTGAAAATATACTCCTTGTTGCCAGAGTACTTCACTCACTTCCTTACGAGACTTGGTAAATATTTTGAGTTGATAACTGCAAGCTGCAATAGGATGTGAGTTTGCTAAACCACAGCCAGATCTTTGTGATATCATGGGAGGTTAATTGTTGCAAGGTGACGTGAAGGGTCAAAAACACACCTAAAGTATTTCAATTTTCTGAGTTTCGTTGTTGAACTATCAACTGTGTGAGTTTTCCTAATTTAACTATCACGAAATGTTTATCGAAACACACCTCAGCAATCAGTTGTTCACTTTAACAACTTTTCCTATCTGAATGATGGTAATGTTTCAAATAGGAAAAGTGAACAACCGATAGTTGAAGCGTGTTTCGATAAACATTTGATGGGAAAAGTAAACACTTGATAGTTCTGCGACATTTATTATTCATATCCCTAAAGATTAGCTATTCGATTCCCCCAAACACTTTGATAACTACAACAATAGTAATTATGGGATTGGTGTTGTTTGTCTTATTTTTTAGAGTTGTAAACAACTTTTTGTAATTGTTTTTTCCCATTTGTCTAAATTTTGATGGATATTGTATAGAATTACTCGGTATTTGTTTGACACAAAATTCTCATTTTATAATGAACTAGATAAATATTATCCAAAAACTTTTAATATAATATTTTAATAAAAATTTCTAGTAACACAATAATGATCTTTTTAAAGCATAAACATAGCCACAAGAAAAAGTCATTAAACAAGAAAACAACTTGTTCAAAAACTAGATTTTGGTTGGGTTAGATAAATTATAGTTGGAAGGAGCCTAAATCGACCCCCTTCTTTTTTACTTTGAAAAAAGCAGTAAGGAGTAAGGAGATTAAACTCTCGGATAAGACTAAGCAGCTATCGGCCGTTCCGACGGAATAATGAATTATTAATTAGCGGGTTATTTTTTTTTTATCTAAAATATAAAAAAGTACTTTATAAGTTATTTTCTAAATTTGATATACAACTTTTAATTCAACTTAAAATTTTCAAATAAAAAAAAATTATCTCGAAAAAAATAAAATAATTTTTATGATCAAATGGGTCGGATTGTTCTATGAACCAACCCGTTTGCCGCCAATAAAGCCCAGCTATATAAATATGGCGAAACTGTAACCCTTCCTCCGTCCTTTACAATACTAAATCATCGCTCTCTGTTTTTCAACTGTGCAAAAAATGCAGGTAAATTCATAAATTATTAACCTCAATTTCATATTTTCAGTTTCGATTACTTATTTCTATCTTCGTTAGGATTATACTGGATATGTTGTTGTTGTTGTTTGTTAAACTCGTCAAATTCAATTTCAGTTTCAATTTATTTATAAATTTGTTTATTTTATCTTCCACCAAGACCTGTTTTTTTTTTCCAAAACCCTAGTTTTTTTTTCCTGTTCAGTGTGTCTTTGAAATGTTTTTCTGTTTGTTAATTTGTTGGATGAATATGTGATTAAAGTGTGTTTAATTTCTCCATGCAGGCTAGTGATAGGTTCAATATCAACTCTCAGCTTGAGCACTTGCAAGCTAAATACGTTGGAACAGGACATGCCGACTTGACTCGATTGTAAGTTTTTGTTTTTGATGAAGTAAGGGGAATTTGTTAGAAGGCATAAAAAGATGCAAGAAAGTAGACGAAAATAGGTAGTTAGATTCATAACAAGTGGATCTATACTAAGGCGTAATGAAATTCGAAAGAAATTGCATTATTTATAGGGGTGAGATAGTTTTAGCTGAAAAGATTAAGGCATTTAGCCTCGAGGGAGTAGGTTGGAGTTGAGATGCTCTGGAAACACCTTTGATTTATTTCTGTTCAAATACACCAAAATATTACTACTGGTATTGTTCTCCAGATCTTTTTGATGGCTTTGTCAACTCCCTTAAAACACTAACTAACACTAGCTTTCATAGGCTAACTTTAACAGTGTTCTCAAAGGTGCTCTTAAAGCGTGCTTTAGCCCGGTTGAGTGCTTTGTCTCGTTTAATGTGTGCTTCAGTGTCCTCATCTAGCCTCTAAGAAATACTTTTCCTTGACAATGAAGGTGACATTAAACAATTAAAATCTTACTGTGAGAAATATAGGAAAAGAATATTATTGAATTGTTGTTGTTTACATTATTACATTGAGACCCTATTTATAGACCCTAGAATACAATCCTTTACCAAGTAGGATACTATTTAGTATTCCTATTTCTATTTCTATTCCTATTCCTGTTCTAATAGGATTGTATAAACTTATTCTTATTCTAATAGGATTGTATAAACCTATTCCTATTCTAATAGGATTGTATAAACCTATTCCTATTCTAACACTCCCCCTCAAGCTAGTGCATACAATTCATGTACCTAGCTTGTTACAAATGTAATTAACACGAGGACCGATGAGGGGCTTGGTGAGATATCTGCAAGTTGATCACTCGACTTCACAAATTTGACAATCAATCTCAATGGGCTTGGTCTTCTCATGAAATACTGAATTTGATGCATAATGCCGATAAAACAGAAAGTGATAAAATTACAGTGTTGAACTTCCCAAACCAAGCTTGCAAAAACTATTTCAGACCATAGAGTGACTTACGTAATCAACATACAAGGCTACTAAACTCCCCCTGAGCAACAAATTAGGTGGTTGCTCCATATAGACTTCTTCACAATGCAACGGTCGCCGGAAGTGCTCAAAATCTAGTATAAAGTGTATGGATCATGTTGGAATCAATAGACGTGTCAATATTTAACAAGAAAGTCACCGAAAAATTGGCCGGAACATGCTTATATGCCGGAGTATTGATTTGATGGATAAAAGTGGTCACAATCTAAGAAATAAAATTATATGGATAGGGTTGGAATGATGTCACGACCCAACTAGAAAATAGAAATTATATAGGATAGTTCGAATTGATGGAATGACCCCCATTGAAAAAGAGAAATAATATGGGTAGGGTCGGAATGATGGCACAACCCTAATGAAAAAGAGAAATTATATAGGTATGGTTGGAATGATGGCACAACCCTACGCAAATCAGATTTGGGGAGTCACCGGAAAGACGAATGGAACTATGCAAATCAAATCTGAGGAGTCACTAAAAAGACATGATGCTATGCAACTCAGATATGAGAAAGTAGTTCGGTAAAATCCACGGTACTACACAAATTAATTATGAAAAGTAGTCCGGAGAGATGCACGGTGCTACGCAAATAAGATATGCAAAAAAAGGTAGTCACCGGAAGGATGTCACGGTGCTACACAAATTATATATGAAAAAGTAGTCACTGGAATGATGGCACAGTGCTACACAAATTAAATATGAAAAAGTAGTCACCGGAATGATGACACGGTGCTACAAAAATTAAATATGAAAAAGTAGTCACCGGAATGATGGCACGGTGCTACACAAATTAGATATAAAAAAGTAGTCACTGAAAAGATGGCACGGTGCTACAAGTTAGATATAAGAAAGTAGTCACCGGAATGATGGCACAGTGCTTAAATAAATCAAATATGAGAAAATAGTCACCGGAAAGATACATGGTGACCCAACTTTTGCTAACATAATTGTTGGCCAGACGGGCGGCATATATGAGTAATAGCCGCCCGCCGGCAGCGGAATCACTTTGATCGTTTACCAAGATCGTAGAGGCTCTGATACCATGTGAGAAATATAGGAAAGAATATTATTGAATTGTTGTTGTTTACATTATTACATTGAGACCCTATTTATAGACCCTAGAATACAATCCTTTACCAAGTAGGATACTATTTAGTATTCCTATTTCTATTTCTATTCCTATTCCTGTTCTAATAGGATTGTATAAACTTATTCTTATTCTAATAGGATTGTATAAACCTATTCCTATTCTAATAGGATTGTATAAACCTATTCCTATTCTAACACTTACTTTATTGTTATTTTTTTTTCAATTTCTTTGTCCATATATTTGTTATTCATGCTTGTAATTATTAGTCTTGGACTAAACATAAATATTTGTATTTTTCTCCATTTGTGCCTTTTTTCATTAGATCCCCATGCTTTATTTGTGCTTTGCGCTTAAAGCCCCAACGGACCTTAGAGCTATTTGATGTTTTTCACATTTGTTAACACTGGATTTAATGTTTGTGGCATCGCCCATTTCAGACCGAAAATAGAATAGAAGAGGCTCCATATCTCCTTTGCAATAGAACAAATGAAGGGAAAAGTGGTTGATACTTTCTGCATACTGCTGGCACATGTAGCATCTGTTTAGTAGAACAATTTTCCTCTTGCAGTAGTTTTCATGAGTGAGACATATCCCCTTAGAGCTAACTAGGTGAAGCAAATCACCCTGGTAGGCACCTTTGTTCTCCAAATATGCATTTAGAGCTAATTATTAATCATTCCATTCTGAGCACAATGGTGTTTGTAACCATCTCTAAAGTCTAATCTGAAGCACTGAATGCTTTCATGTGTTTTTGGTTATTTCTATTGATTTCTCATAAATCTGAAGCACTTGGATGCTTTAGACTTTAGAGAATATATGAATGAAGGTGAGAATCAATTAGACAAAAGGATAACAACCTTAAGAATCGATGAAGTCTGTGAATATATATCAAGACAATTTGAAGAATTGT